AAAATATAATTAGAAACTTTTATGTCTCGTCAAACGTCATTTAATTCATAATACTTACATAATCAAAACTTTCACAACATGTTTTAAGATTTGCCTATGCTTAATGTTTCGTAGGCCACAAACACTTTCACTAGATTAAATATTTGACAGTCAATATCAATAACAAGATGTCATCACGTAATTTGTACTTATAGCAACCGATAATTGACAACTGAGATTTGAATATTTAAAAGCTAAATAGAAAACTTACCGTCCGTTTCTAAGACAAAAATCTCTGTATAAAACAAATCGACATCCCTGTCATTATCTTTGTCCAAAACAGAGATAGTAATATATTTTCAAGGAGGATTTTGATCTCAGAAACCGACGGTTAGACATCTTAAGTCATCTCGTTGGAGATGTCTATTTCAGGGGATTTCAGAAGACCGCTTGTATTTACGAACGTATTCTTTAAAAATTTCAATGGTAAAAGTGTTCAAAATCAACTATGTGTTCACTTCAAAATTTCTCTTCTATTCTAGGTAAGCAACCTTATATTGTAGTTATATTCAATTACAATAAAAAGCGAAACCAATAGTGCAACGGACTGTTTCGCTTTCTACGCATAAGGAAATGGCACGACACGCAAGCGATACAGAGCTATAGCACGGTGTGTCATATGCCTATAACTAAATAGCCTGAGGTACTTTGATTTCATCATCAGCTCACTATACATAACCACTGAAAGGATTGGAGCCTACCCTTAAGTTGGGGGTCAGCCATAATCAACCACGCTGGCCAAGTGCGGGTTGCACTTCACACATATCTTTGAATTTTACCGTGGCGTTACCCGTGGGTTTTTGAAACTTAAATTGTAAAAAAATTAATAACATAATACGCATATCTGATTGTTAATTATTTCCAACATTGACCTATTGAAAGGAATACACAGATAAAAATATTTTAAAATTGACCTTAAACTACCATTAATATTCTGTTAACATTATCATTGTATTTCCAACTCGAAACAAACATCAAACAAATGAAATTATATTTGACCTTTGCCTTATTAGCAAACTGTTTAAAATATTTCCATGACAAATTTCTTACTTTAATAAAATATAAAAATGTAGTTAGTATAACCTTAAATTATCTGTAAGAATCAAAATACAGTTTTAATTTTGTGTTTGCTTGAACAGTTGAATAAATGTGACGTTAGGTACAAATAACATTTGATCAATGACATATTAATAGATATAATCCATAAGGCGTCGAAATTGTTTTTTTTTTATCCCTTGCTATCATTACGTCCAGTAACCTTGCAACATCTAGAATGTGTAACCGTGGCTTACTGAGACCAAAATCTTCGTTTAAAACACATTGCCTCTATTTTGTCAGAGATAATGATAAGGATGACGATATGTTTTATACAGAGATTTTGATCAGAAACCGATGTGACCTATTGTCTGCGTGTTTACGTTCATCGTTTAGAAAATCCAATAACGTTTACTACATTCACTAGGTAGAATGTTTGTTTGGAATGTTTTATTTACAAACAAATAAGAAAATTCTTAACAACGACACAATAGAACAATACGATGTGTTTGAAAACTAAATCCTAAGTTTTTAATTCATACAACAGATTGAAAAATCAATTTTGAAATCCTGTCCCAGTATTAAGTACACAAAAAATCAATTGATCAATTTATTTGATATAAATAAATAATATTTTTTGTATTACAACAAAAGAATAATAAGAAACCATTTGTAATAAATAGAAACTGTTTGCACAATACAAAAATTTTAACTATTATACAAAAAAGTGAGTCGCATAAAAACTGGCAACATTTATTTCCTCGAGAAACTCAGTCCCATCACTATTTAAACTCAAAGGAAAAACATCACTAGTTCGTTTCCGGCGCTTGTATTTTTTACAAACTCTTTCCACGCTTCAAATGCGGATATCTTCTATCATGTTACGGATATAAAAACCTGTTATTTCTCTATAGAAACGCGATTCAAGTATCTTATAACTTTATACTTGCTTAATTAAAGCTTAGGAGAAACTTACATATATTTTGTCTTATTTTAAATTACATCTAAGCGAATGTTGAGATGGATGTATAGATACATTGATGAACGGATGGATGCCTGGATGCTTGATCAACCAAATCATTTATATTTTTGGAGATGCTACTTAACCATTTAGACCTTTTACTTGAAATCTGTGCTTTAATTTAATTAGAATAATCTATTGCAATTTAAAAAGATTCTTCATAAAAACGTCGACTATAACTCGAACAGTTTCGCAAATAACTTGCCCATCGATCTGTGAACTGTGAACAATTCTTCATTCCGTAATTTACTGCTGTTTTGTCAACTACTGTATCTAAACTTATACATTTCTCAACTAAACGCAATCCATATAAATTGAAGCTCCTTTTTGTATGTAATCCGTGGAAATTGAGGCTTTTGTATGTATTTATAGTAATCAATGTGCCAACAAGAAGTGACTGCCAAGCTATTACTGCAATGTAACATACCATCCATATCTATGAAAGTAATGACATTAACAACTGTCAATTTGCTGAAAGCTTGTTATAGAAACTGCGAAAAAACATAAATAATGTTTAATATATCACAATTAGTAGTACTATTTTTCAAAAATATATAATTTGTGTTGATTGCAGAATTATGTATCCTAACTCTTTGATGGTCATAGATTAAACATTCTGCCAAACAGGTGGCATACTGACCACAAGAACCTTTGCCTTTTAGATTCAGAAAAAGATAGGTGAAAAAGAGAGAAGAGAATCGCGCGGGAAGAGTCAACAACGAAATGTAGTCCTGAATAGAGTTATTTGGAATTTTTTAATGTTAATATTTATGTTTTAGTATAAAGATTTTAACAAGGAATAAACGCATCTTGGCTGCTTATGTTGCTGTTTTCGATTTATACAATTTGTAATATTATACAGGTACGTATTTATATATGTGAGTTTAATGATGATTAATTTAAATTTATTGAATTCATATTTATGAAACGTAACTTTTGTAACTCGCTTATAATGTTAGTGGCGCTAACGATGCGCCTTTGCTCATTACAGTGATGATGAAATTTAAATTGTAGCCAAATCAAAAACATCCAACACGTTTGAATTGAATAAAAAGCTTTAAAATATTTAGATGTCAAAAGGATGCTAAACATATGCCAAGAAATCGTCGGCAAGTATTTATTCGTAATATTTGACTTTAAGAGGTACTATTTATTCACGCTTATTTACCGTGAATAATTAATTGGTTATTGGTTACAAATTAAACTTAGTTTCGTATTGGACCGGAGAGGTCTTCCGTTGCATTTGTCGTCATGAGAAATTACGAAACGTCGTGGGGTAGAAGTGGAACTATAAAACTTTGCGCGCGCATCCCCTCTTTACAGTTATGCGCAGTCGCTATGGCGGCCCGACGTTTGCCGACGCGCGCCAAATTCAAACTGTGACCGTTCCAAATTCTAATATTGACTATTTTTGACTTCCGACAATATATGACTATGTTCTGACTGACTAGTGACAGTGACTAAGACAGTGATTTGACTTGACTTGACTTGGATTGAATGAGAATTGACTGACTTGACTTTTAGTCTGGAGGCTGGGATATCATGTTAGTATTATTTTTTTGTTTATAGCTTTTAGTAAACATTATATTATCGCGTGCACGTAATTACAATAATCTCAATATACGAAAAGATTGTTAGATAAAACAATATAGATAAGAACGTTTTCTCAAAATTATTTAAATACCATAATTATTTTTATATTGTTTTTTGATGATTTCAAAAAAAATCTGGGAATTGATTCGTTATTTTTAAAAAGGATTCATACCTAATTATTTCCGAACATAAAAATGAATGAGAAAAATCTAAAACAAAGGTTTCACTCAATTTTTATTTTACTTCTAGATAGTAAATTTAGTAGATTATGACAAGATTTTGTCCACGTAATAATAATTCCGCATACTCTTCATCTTTTCAAGAACCGGTATGTTGCGATAATCAATCATTTTTATAAGTTACCACAGGTTCTTAAACCGGAATAAAACAATAATTACATCTCAGTTAGTGCTGAGTTTTGCGCTTTAATATTTACGCAATCTCTTAACAATGGAAATCTACCGTAATATTAGCCATTTCTGATACAAACAAGATATTATTATCCAAATTGGTTATCTCCCATATAAGAACTTCGTATGCATTTATTATCAAAAGCAGAGAGAGCAGTTCCCAGCGAAAGTGACTTTTACGTACTTTCCCCGCGCGCCGTGACGGGTATGTCATGGTGTCATCGCTGGCTGTAATGGCCGCCCATTTATGGTGATTGTGTTTCGCGCCAAATTACGCGTCATCGATTATAACGCCAATTGTTTTTAAATTTAGAATCGGTTGTTGACTGAACAAATACTGCCACACTTCGTTAGTAGCCGGAATATTACTAAACGAGAATTTTAAATATTATTGACTATAGTTTCCTGTTTTTTTTTTGTTTCAAAACGTTTGAAACTCATTTTTTGAGTCGTAGCTTTTAAATTGATATTAGTTAACAAGGAACGACTTTAATGTACTTTTTTATTAGCTTGCTTAAAAAAAACTATTTTCTAAAACTTTCTACTGTCAATTGAATAAAAACGAAAATACACTTATTTGTTTAGCTGTCTTACAAAGTTTAATAATCTTGGAATAATGTAAAGATGTGTAATGACAATACTATTTATAAAACTTTCTTTTCTTCTAATAATAATTGCGACTTTCTTTTATTTTTGCTTTTACTTTATTGTCATATTTTGATTATTATTTATTTTTACCAGCCACTAATTTATCCGACCACCACCCATTGTTCATAAAGTCATACATGCTGACTCGTAGTAGGACTTATAATTTGACTATTATTCGGTCATCACGGACCTTTCTCATCCAATAGCTAAAACGATCATGGACATGACATATAATTCACAAGTTAATTGACCAGAGGCGATCCTGATGGCGATGGCGAGGACAGCGCGGGGGCGGAGAGCAGGACGGAAGCGGGGATGTTCCCCGCAGCAAGCGCGCTGCGCCAGTCCGCGCTGCTCGACCAGTGCCCGCTGCGCACCGTGCCCAAGTGCCCGCCGGCCTCCAAACGGTAAAACAACACTCTAGTATTATACATTCAGATCAGTTAACGACGAATGTATGAAGGGTTACTATGGCTTTCGTAACTCTACCTTCTAATAAGTTGTGATGTTGATCATATTCATAACCTTCTAGAAAGTGAAAATTAACCCCATTGTCCATTTACGGATGCACTTTATCAAAATATCTTGGGAACAAACTTTAAAACAACTTTGCTAGCTTCGATTATTATGTTCCAGGTACCGCACGCACGATGGTACATGCAATAACCTGAGTCGTCCACGCTGGGGCTCCACCATGACGCCCGTGCAGCGCTTCCTACAACCCTCCTATTCCGACGGCATCCAGGCCCCGCGCCGCTCCGTCTTCGGCAGCAAGCTACCCTCTGCCCGGGAGATAAGCTCGCTGGTGCACGAAGACCAGAACGTGGAAAACCACGGTATCACACATCTCCTCATGCAATGGGGACAGTTTCTGGATCACGATGTGACGTCCTCTTCTCAATCCCGAGGATTCAACGGATCCGTGCCGAGGTGCTGCAAAGATGGTGGAAGGGATTTTATGCCTAAAGAACTAATGGTAAGGCGATAAATCCGTTTATAAGTTAAAAGTTAGGATCCCGTAGCCTTTATAATTTGTTTAGATAGGATGTAGATGAGTTTGTCATTGGACGTTTGATTGTCGCAGCATCCGGAATGTCTGCCGATCGCGGTGCCGTCTTCTGACCCATTCTACGGTCCGCGCGGCGTGCGCTGCCTGGACTTCGTGCGCTCCTCTCCGGCGCCGCGCGACGACTGCGCGCTCGGGTGGCGCGACCAGCTCAACCAGGTCTCCGCCTACATCGACGGCTCTCCTCTATACGCCAGTTCAGCCAGGCAGTCTGATAAACTCAGGCTGTTTAGGAACGGTAAGTCTCCCAGTTCACAAGTGCCTTTGCCTGTTTGTTAGGATTATCCATAATACATTTGTATGTATTCCCCCGGTGCAGGCATGCTACAGTACGGGCGCGTGCAGCAGCGGCGGCCGGTGCTGCCCCCGGAGCGGAGAGACGAGCTGTGTCGCGGCGGTGCACTCTCCAGCGACTGCTTCCGCTCCGGAGATGCGCGCGTCAACGAGCATCCCGGCCTCGTCGCCGCACACATCGTCTGGCTCCGACAGCACAACCGGTCACTTACTTACAACATACTTATATTTATAAAACCCTTCTATTTCTAGAGTAATTACTTAGGCTGCCGTCTGTACTGAACGTTGCTAATATAGATATAGATCTTCACTCGAACCTCTAAACGACAGACTACATCAGAGTATGCTTATGGAATTGTAGATAAGTGACCTAAAAGGGAATAACTAAATTTGTTTTAATGGAACTGAAATAATAATATAGGATGGCGCAAGAGCTGGCGCATTTGAACCCGCACTGGAGCGATGAGAAGATCTACCAGGAGACGCGCAAGATCGTCGGCGCCATGCTGCAGCACATCACATACCGAGAGTTCCTGCCCGTTGTTTTAGGTAAGTTCCATTTTATTCTGCTCAATAACAAGTCGACCAGGAAGCTACCTAATAAACAACTACAACCTTCTTTCTCTGTGCTGAGCTGATAGTTTCCAGCGATTGATTTGTATGTTCTCTTTATTAATTAATCTCCTAAATAATATGCTATTGTAACTTTACGGTTACGTTAGAGTAGCTACAAACTAAGCTATTGCAAATTAATAGGCCGTAAAATGTAAACCAAATTAGGCGGAACGGATTCATTTAATATCAGACAAAAAAGTATTAAGTCACAATACTTACATAAACAGAGGCCATTGATGCAATAACTATTATGAATAACACCATCACTACCTAAAACAAACAGCTTTTGACAAAGATATAATACAACGGCAGAAGCCGTTCACAGAAGAATGCATTTCGTATAGAAATACGAAATGCTTTAAAGTAATCTCTGAAACATACTAGACATTCCCTTATGCATGGTTCCATGCACTAGGATCAGAAGTGATGCGTCTCTTCGAGCTGGATCTTGTGAAGAAGGGTTACTTCAAAGAGTACAACCCCAAGATCAACCCCAACCCGGCGAGCTCGTTCGGTTCCGCCGCGTTCCGCTTCGGACATAGCCTCGTGCAGCCTTCTATGGTCAGGTTCGACAGGTTCCACAGACCCATGGGCAACAGTAAGTACATTCAGTCTAGTCTAGTTATTGCTCTAGTTTTTTTACTACTTTTAATATAAGTAGTAAGTATAAACCTGATACCAAACTGGCAACCAAAATCTCGCAGAAAACCCTATTTTGTTCGGTACTTCTTATCCACGCACTTCACTTGGTCCTTCCAGATGTATCTCTACACAATGAAATAACTAACCCATCAAACATCTGGAGCATGGGCGCGGTGGACCGCTTGCTCATCGGCATGATCAACCAGCCCATACAGAAGCGGGACGAGTTCATCACGGAGGAATTAACTAACCATCTGTTCCAAACGCCTCACTTCGACTTCGGCATGGACTTGGCTGCGATAAATATACAAAGAGGGAGGGACCACGGAGTACCGCCTTACACCTCGTGGAGAGAACCCTGTGGACTGTCAACTATCACCGACTTCGAAGACTTGGCCAGGGTAATGCCAAAGAGAGTCGTCAGGAAACTTAAGAACTTGTACAGGTATAATTGCTTAGTCGTAATATATATATTCCTACAAAGATGTTTTTATATTCAGTGATTTTGTATTTACAGACATGTTAATGATATAGACCTGTTCACTGGAGGTATGGCAGAAAGACCTGTAATCGGCGGCCTAGTGGGGCCAACTTTTGCTTGTATTATCGCACAACAGTTCTCAAATATGCGAAAAGGCGATCGATTTTGGTAAGTAAGCCATAAATTTAGTGTAACAAGTTGAATTGTTGACAGAATAACAAAATATAATATGTATTGCAGGTATGAGAACGGAGGTTTCGAATCTTCTTTAACGCCGGCGCAATTACAACAAATCCGTCGAATATCCTTAGCCCAAATACTCTGTCGTACCCTCGACACTATCGACAGTATACAACCATTCGCTTTCCTTTCACCTGACAACCCCGACAATCAAAGAATTTCTTGTCAAAACGGACTGTTAAATAACTTCGACTTATCACCTTGGATCGAAATAAACTCTGACTCTAATAACGACATTAAAAAATCTGACAATGACCCTTCTAATTTAAAACCTAATACAAAACCAACCACCACGAATAGACCGACTACTAAAAAGAGCCAAAAACTCACTTCTACTGTTAATAAAACACCACAGAATCGACCTGTTAACCAAACGACTAGACCACATAAAGTTAGTCATAAACTTAATGACACTGACATGACAAAGAATGATACAGACAAACAAACTGCAAGTACTACAACAAAACCTAAGACGACAGTACAGACCATTGACGACAAACTTGACTTTAAAAACAAAAGTAGACGTTACACTGACTTCGAAAGTATTATAACAAGACATCGCGCACCGACTCGCTACTACAACAACTACAATGACTACGACGACAACGTGCAAAGCGTGCAATCACTACTCGTTAACAATTTACAACAGAAACGACCATATAACAGCAGACCCGTAATAACTGTGACTGAAAACGTAGACAAATATACTTACTTAATCAACTATGTACCGAGACCCACACAGTCCTGGAGACAGACCACGAGGAAGACACATGACAGAGACGTAGTAAAAGTTACATATCAGACTTACGACGACACGTACGACCGACGACCGAACAGACCGTATTACTATGACAGTAGACGACCGAACAAACCTTACTACAACAGACACGACTCTGAAGACGACATTGACTCCTACAGACGAGACAGTTCCGACACAAAACTGACATATAACTTCAATTCATCAGCTAGATCTACTGACAAAGACTTAAATAAAACTAAACTTAATACGACTATGGACAAAAATGACAAAATCGACACTACCACTGAAAACCAATACAAATTGACGACTTTTAGCTACGTAGGTACTTACAGAGGTGACAATACTGACAAAACGACTAAACTAGAGAAAACCGACGCAGTAGACCAAACTAATGACAAACATGACAGTGTGAGCAAAGACTTTACAACATTTGAAGCCAAAGATAAAGATCCCGGGAGGGGTCCAGATGACATGACTAATACTGACAAAATATCAACATTCTATCTTTATGAAACTGCAACAAAACCTTACAACTTGAACAGACCGACGAGACGTAACGACGAAGAAAAAATCGACATGAGAAACAAAAACAAATATTATTACGTTAGAAATGTTTTACACAAATATCCCGACACAGATTCAAATATAGCCAAAAGAAACACAGCAACAAACGAAGGTATCGTGAAGGAAAACTACAACAGTCCCGGAGTTCCCGACTTTGATATAGAGGAAAGATCTGCTGCAGACAAAGTTACATCTATAGCTGCGACGGAATCCAAAGCGATGCATGCGGACAAATCCAAAATGAAAATACAAAAACCTTCAAGTCCTCCGAAAACGCCTTCAGTAGCATTTCAAGTAACACCAAGTGAAAACAGGTAAGAATTTTAAATTATTCACAACTTCACCGTCGCTTTTTCCATTATCTTAGGAAATCGGAAAATTAAAGTTAAGTAATCTGCCTAAAATTGCTGTCAATATTTTCAAAATGTAGACTTTGGTGCCTTTTTCAAAAATGAAATTATTTTTTTCCAGTCCATCACAGTGGGCAATTTATGAAGAGAATGCCGACTTACCTGAAGGTCTACCGCAACGGATGCCTTCACTCAAGATCGACCCTCACGCATTAAGAGAAATACCAAGACCAATGAACCTCTCGCGTCCAGTGCGGCGCCGTCCTGGAGGAAGATTATAGGGGAAAAAATTAAATTTGGTGCTTGCTTTAATTTAACGCGATGCCTTTAATAGAATCAAATTAACTGTTAAAGACGCCGCGTTGATATGTTACATTTAGATAAAATTTGTTCTGAACTAGGATTAAATCCTTCCAACAAAACTATGACTGACTTGACTGTAGACGACTGGACTGGACTGAAATCACATGACATGACAACTTGATAAACTTTGACAAATCATGACAACAGTTGATTTTGATGACATGACATGACAAGAGTTATAAACTCGTAATGTATTCAAATATTTTACACTTATTTATTTTAATTGGTGTGGACAAATATAACAATTTCTATCCGTGTTTAATAACATTTTTAAATAATCGAAGGTGAATTTAACCTGAATAACTACCACATTTGTACCATACGAGCTTGAGATAAAATCATACAGGTATGAACTGGAAAGAGCGAGACAACAAAGAATTTTCAATAATCGATAAAGGCAGCGTTAGCTGCGTCATAGTCTCAACTCATCCGTATGTAAACATGAATTGTCTAACATAGTTGGTACAAACGATATTACAGTTTACATAATGATTATATTATCTTTGGCGCCAACTTATATACCTTGCTGCACGCTTTTTTGCACAAGCAGTTTCATAGTGTAATTTAATGATAATTTGACGAACGCCTAAAAACAGACGATTGACTGACGGACAACATTAACAACACTTATTATTTAACTATACCTAACAGATTGTTGACTGAGATTAGATTTGACTTGACTATTTGACTGTTGACATACATGCTATTTTGACATAGGGAAATAAAAGACGGAAATATTTGACACAGACTTTATTAAATAGATTGTCGTTTACATTGACTGAATATGACACCGCTAAGGTAACTACTACATAATACTTGAATTATAAGTTATATGAATAAGTTATTGAAAATTAAGTAAGACATTAATTTCACAAGCTTTGTTACCCATCAGGTTCAAATAGATGAAATTTTCGTTAAATATTCAAATACAAAAGCTGTGAATAAAAAGTAAGAATAAATGTTGTTTTATTTTACAATAAAATTAAATAAATTCAACAATAATTTGAGTATTCATTAAAACATTAAAAAAACTATTCTTTTTGGAACAACATACATGTTTATGTTTGAGGTCTTTGGTAATTTTGAACTTAATAATTTTCTTTAAGATAGAAGTCAGATTTCTTAAATTTTTAACATAAGTAAAAAATAAAAACATTGATAATTCGAATTATAAAACTAAAGATTCAAATTATCACAAACATTTTTATCTTCAATAATATAACAATTTGTTAAAAAAAATATTTATTAAAACTATTTCGAAGGAATGCAAGATAAATAATATGTTTTATACAAACAATGTAAATAAAGTGAAATAAAATGTGACCTTCTACTTTAGTCAGAGGTCATAAGTAGGCTTGTTTTTATTTTGACCATTGTTTATGTTCCACAAGTGGTCCCATCATTTCTTTATTCATGGAGGCAAGCAAATTTCATTTTAATACACAAAATCTCTTAAGAATGCTCTACCCGAGATTCATACAACACAAAGCCTCAAAGATGGAAATCAAAATTCTCATTTGTATTTTTGCACACATTAAGATAAAATAACTTAAGTAAACTTAACACAGGGAGATAGAGATTATAGAAATTTAATAAGAGGTAATACACAATGTTTACAACATATGACTACATCAAAACACATATAAAATGGAATAATCACTTCCAGTATTTTCTAGAGTGATCTTAACATGGCCTAATCATGATCAGGATAATACTGAGTTAGTTTCTTGCTTAATTCATTAGCGAGTTCTTCGCGGCCGGCGCACAGCATGCGGCGTGAAAGCAAGTTGATGGGCCCACCGCTGGGGTCAATGCAGACACCTCCTGCCTCCTTCACTATCAGGCAGCCAGCAGCTATGTCCCAAATGTGAATGCCGAACTCAAAGTTAGCGTCAGCCCTTCCCTCCGCAACCATGGCCATGTTCAAGGCGGCAGAGCCCAGTGCGCGAATGCCGTGAGCCTGACCCACCATAGTTTTGAAATTTTCAAAAACTACTTTAACCTTTTCCTCGTCGCGACTAGTGCCCGTTTCAAAAGCGACAAGCGCATGACGAAGTTCTTTTACTTTAGACGTATGTATCGGTTCTCCGTTCAAACAGGCGCCTTGGCCTTCCTTCGCAGAGTACAGCTTGTCCATCAACGGGTTGTAAATTATTCCGAGCACCGGCTCCTTGGAAATAAGTAAAGCGAGGGAGATGCAGCTGAAAGGAAACCCATGTACAAAATTCATGGTTCCATCCACTGGATCGATCACCCAGGTTGGGTCATCAGTAAGATTTACTTTGACCCCGCCCGCCACGGACTCTTCTCCGATAAACTTATGAGAAGGATATTGTTTAGAAATGCTGTGTATGATAAAATTTTCAACCATCTTATCGACCTTGGTCACGAAGTCAATGTCGCAGCTCTTTACTTCAAATTCTTCGCAGCCGGATCCATATTGCGTGATGAATCTCCCTGCCTTCCTCACAACCCCCACGGCGACATCGAAGTAATCATTGACTACGTTCCTCATTTTACTGTTATAAAATCTGAACGCCCAACACGTAAATACACTTTTTGCTATTTTTATTTGCGGTGTAATTTTCAAAACACTAATCGATTTGCGTCATACGATAATATTTGACTTTATTGAGTTATGGAAAATCACAGAGTATACGAATTGTCGTTGTCAAAACTCAAGTCCCAAAGAATAAAAAATAGCTGGCAAATGCGATTCGCGTGAAATCCTAGATGGCGCTACATCGCTGATATTATCTACTTTGTGAGTCACTACAGTTTTGAGGCGTTATTAACTTTTCTTCTGTTGTTTTACTAGTTTTAGCATCGGTGTTAAATATTTTAAGAAAAGTAAAAGTCCAATAGTGCTTGGGAGTATTCAGGGGTTTAACAAATAAAACGAATGATCTTAAAAATCATGAAAAATTGTTTAATTGGCATACCAACTGATAACTTGTTACAACCTATGGCCAATTTTACAATTATCAATATTGTTAATAATTAAATATAATATTTATGTAAAATAGGTTTATGCTTCAATGGTTTACTTACATTTAATTTTTTTATATTATTATTCAGAAAAAAAAACTATGTAATAAAAAAGTCGAGGTCATTACAATAATTAAGACTTCGGTATAATAATATAGTTATATAAAAACTTCGCAAAGATACTTTTTCTCATCGAATTGATGGTTTAGGAAACCGATCGGAACGCTTATCCTGTCCGTAGTAAAAAACCTAAGGCCACGATTTATTACTAAATGTCTCACTTATCACTAGAGAAGCAAGCCGAGCGTCGACGTCGACCTTCGCGACAGGCAAGGGCGATACAAGTATGATGAAAGCAAATTTACATTACCACGTCAGCGCGTATTTACATCGGCCACTGACGAATCCGTTCACGGTTACAAGACAAAATCAAATATATAGGTGAAAAATTGTTACAATATCTTATACGGAACTCGTCGGATTTTAAAAAAGAACGATTTTGACACCACAATATCAGTGGTTGCAAATTCGCGACGAATTCCGTTACACCAAAGGCTTATGTCCTTACTTAACTATGAATAAAATTTGTATGGCAACTAAGCGCTCAGTGGTTCACACTGAAATTATTTACATGAATGAATTCTTGTTGGGGTCCGTTTTAACCGAGCATGCTCAGACAAACATAATTCTGCACATGAATTGCGATCGTAAATGTTTATATGTTGGGTGAAATTAAAAAACACATCTGAACATGCTTAATTAAAAAAAAATCAGATGTGAAAATGCTGAACATGGGATATTTTGTATTGTCGCAACACCAGTCTTTATCAACACGAACGTAACCTTTAGGGGTGAACAGAATGGAAAATATATTAAGATGGTATCTAGCAAAATTAACTCAACTTACGTTACCCAAATAAGTTACGTTCAAGTCGCGAAGAAAATGCATCCAAATAGTGAATTCCATTTTGTCACAATGTTATAATACTTTATTTTTTTAATTTTAACACAATATCACCCAATGAGTAATTTAACATCTACCCGATCGACTAAGTCTAGGTAAAAATTCGAAAACTCGATTGTTTAGGAATGTCTCGTTATTAATACTGCTCCAGTGGGAGGCGAGCCGGCGTCTCCAGGCTTCACGCTACCTACTGCAACACGTGACAGCATTGTTTATGGTGATAAAACAATTCTTTATGGTATATTAACTCAAAATATACAAAATTATGACGATTACAACAAAGAAAATATAGGCAGCCAGATAAAATCTTCAACAGTTTTACTTGTAATAGAGAAAAAATAACTATATAACTTTTGAATTAAAAAATAAAAATTGGAAATATTATAATGAATACATAAAAATGCTGCCACAATTAGTAAGTAGTGATAACCGCAGAGTGCACGGTTTGTCTGTTATTTTGGCACATGACACAATCTGATGACACAAAGTGTGGTACCACGTATAATTTAAATGCATTCATATATCCTGAGCACCCACAATTGTCCAGTTACATTGTAAAACATTCTAAAAACTTCATCATCACGTCCAAATTCATAAAATGACACGATTTTCTATAACAATACAAAGCGAAAACTTAACTTTAGTGACATGTAGATTAAAAATTAAATTAAATATTAATATATTGACCCCCATCTGACAACTGACAAACAGATATTTAACATAATCGATTGTACAATTAGAAAAAAAATACGACAACATTACAAACAGATTTTAAGTTTTTTTTCTACAAATTTTCTAGAAATTTCGGCCAGAACTATAAAAAAATAGCGATTTATGTTAATATTGAATATATACAATTGTTAAAACATAATACAGATGCAAAGTTTGACAGAAACAGAGCTTACGACACATATTAAATAATTGGTTAAGTATATAACACCAACATTTCAAATATTGCAAATAACTAAAGAAATATTATACTTAACGTTCTAACGCCACTTTTGGAAAAATTCAGACAGAAAATATCGTAAACCAAATATTTACAAAACTTAAATTTATTTGCAGCATTAATTTTGTGTTTAAGTGAAAAATAATTTTAAGCAATTAAAGTACATATTATAAAAATGATTTTTTTTTTACTTTTTACAAAAGCAAAAACGATACCAAGCGCCTGGTTATAGAAAAATGAAGTAAGTAAACAAACGAAATAAGGATAGGCACACAACTAAATTAAAAACGGAAATTTGTATCGTAAGTTTACTAAATGCCGGTCTGTTAAAAATGTATTGTTATAAAATTATTACTTTAAAAATCCAAATAAAGCGGGCCTAACCTTTAAATATTAAATGCGCAACGGAATAAAAAAATGTCTTGCTTGCAAATAAACTGTAACTTTAGTCATGCGGGCGTGGTTGTGGGCGGGGCTGTGGGCGTGTCTGTGGGCGGGGAGAGGCGGTGTGTGGGCTGTCACTCGACGCTGTTGGTGGTATCGTTGACGTCATCGAAGGACTCGTCCCCGGAGCCAGCGCCGGGCGCCAGAGAGGTGCGTTTCAGTCGTGAAGAAGACGACGCCCCGGACAGACCGATGCCTCCTCCTTGCCGCCTGTGTGTCAATTTGTAATACATTGGTTACAAATTTCTACAATTCTGAATACAAAAACTGACATGTTAACTCTAAGCAACGATGAGTGATGTAGGCTTTCCGTAGAATAAAAACAGATTTTTATTCAATTACTGTCTATAATTTTTTTTATTAAAATAGGGTTACTTCTTAAATCAAGTTATAACATAAATTTCATAGCTTAATTATATATTTTATAAGCATATTATTGTACACATTTTTAATTAAAAGCTTGCATTTATTATTATTATTATTAACATTATTTTAGTGTCAACTTTAGTTCACGGAATTTTGGAAAACATTTATTTTCAATCACTAAAACTGTAAGCTAAAATGTAAAATGACATTTGAGAGATGTGTCGCATGGATCATGCTGTGAAAGCGAATCTTAACTTGTTGATAATGAACATTCGACTGTTGTCCACTGTTGAAGCAAGACAGACAAAAAAAACATAAAATCCCCTAAGCTTCGTTCAAATTCAGCTAATAAAATTAATTTTATAAAAAAAAATTACATGTAAACCATTTGTGTTAATAGAATTAGTAATTAACGTGTTTTTTATGATCGAAAAATTATGTATACTTCTCGAATAATAGAATTTTTTCAGTAAAAAAAAAATGACGTATAATAATTTATTAGCGGAAATGAACCCCGGTCTGCTGCACCCCGGTGCACCCCGTTACCTGTCAGTCGTACGCCGCACCACTACCCACTACCCTCTAGCCACTAGTCTCTAGTCACTAGCGTCTGAGAACGACGGCCTACACAATAAACACTGCTAACATATTTGTCTTACATAATACAAAAAACATGCGACCATAATGTATGGACAATAATTATGTTTTATAGGTTAATATTTTTGCGATCAATTTTAAATAAACGTAAAGTAAAAGTGATGTGTATGAAAAGTGACGTTAAAGTTAGTATCAATGTGATAATTTATTTAAAAACAACAAGATGTTGTGTACCGCAGCTTGAGCCCATCTTTGTATTATATGACAATATATGTTTTGCGTAATGTGGAGCACCGGGACACTATATGTATGTTTTTGTGGGACGGTAAAATTGTATGAACGCTCATAGGAGCATTGCGCAGTTTGTATGACTTGGTGTATGTATGTATGTACGGCAGCTCACCGCAGCTTGTTGCGCAGGTTGTATGACTTGGTGTATGTATGTGTGTATGTATGTACGGCAGCTCACCGCAGCTTGTTGCGCAGGTTGTATGACTTGGTGTATGTATGTGTGTATGTATGTATGGCAGCTCACCGCAGCTTGTTGCGCAGGTTGGAGCACTCGCGCGCGAGGGTCTCGTGCGTCTCGAGCATGTCCTCGAGCTCGCGCTGCGCCTTGCGCTTGCCGACCTTCTCGCGCTGCACCTCCTCCTCCGCCTCGTCCAGCTGCCGCTTCAGCGTCTTCACGCGCGTGTTCATCTGCAGTAATCATTATATAAATAAAACAGGTCCAATCTTAAGTCTGGATATTCCATGGAATTTTGTATGTTCACATCAAAGTGACATAACAGGCTAGGCCTACTGATGTACAGACCTTTTCGATTTGCTCCTTGTACTGGTCGGCGTGGCGGCGCTCCTCGTCCAGCTGCAGCAGCATTTCCTTCATCTTCTTATCCAGCTTGCGCGACGCCTTCTGCTGCGCCAGCCGCTCGCGCGACTCCGCCTCAAGCTGTTCCTCCAGGTTGGACACCTTCAGCTCCAGCGACGTTATCACACCCTGCAAAATCCACATCAAACAACACTACTTGAGTAAGAGTTTTTTTTTTAATTATAATATTTTTTTTAAGATACTGGGCTTATATGCTAGTCTATAGTCATATTGGTTTAATGGTAGAAATGATCTCCATGACCAGGTAATGGGGTGAGACTATGCACATAATCATTGGACTATTGGACACTTTAATTTTAGAGGCGATTTTAGTGTGCAACTGAGCGTCACATCACCTTGGTTTTGGTGCGACCGGCAGTCTCGAGCTCGGCCAGCTTGGCCTTGAGCTCCTTGTTCTGCCGCTCCAGCACCAGCTTGCCGCTCTCCATCTTCTGCGTGGCCGCCTTCTCCGTGCCCAGCTCCATCGTAAGCTGGTCGATTTGGTTCTGCAACGTTAAACGAATTATTATTGTTAGTTTTTACAACGCAATCTTCAAAAAATTAAGGCATATGTACCTCGGGTAAACTTCCGTTATGAAATTGTCATGTGACATACCTGCGACTTCCGCAATCTGTCGTTAAGTATCTCGTTGTTGGACTGCTCCTCGTCCAGGTCCTCCTCCAGCGCTGATATCCTCGCCTCCAGCCGCTTCTTTTCGTCCACTAAACATGTGTTCTGGAATATCCAAATAAATCATATTATTAAAAAATAATTCCACGATAAATCTTAAGACAAGAAAAATGTGTACTACTTTATCGAGACTCCGATTTCGTTTTGTGCCGTGTCGTTTTTTTATAGTTTATTCTAGTATGTCTACTGCTGGAGTCTTACCTTGGCGGCAGCGGCGGCCAGCTCGTCGAGCAGGTCGTCGCGCTCGGCCTCTGCATGCCTGCGCGCGCGCTCTGCGGCGGCCAGCTCCTCGGCGTGCTGCGCGGCGGCTGCTTCCAGCGCCTTGCCGCGCCGCTCAGCCTCGCGCGCCGCACCTGCTGCCTCCTCGCGACCAGCTCGCGCCTCTTCCGCCTCACGCGCCGCCTCCTTCAGCTGCTGTTGCAGCTTCTTCACCTGCTTCGTCGCGTCCTCCTTTACCTGCACAGCAGCACACAGACAGATGTTACAAGTCTGTCTAGACAATAATGTAACGTACGTAGTTAGGGCGGTGAAAGTACCTTGTTGGCGAGGTGCAGGGCCTGTTCGGCGTCCTTGAGGTCGGCTTCGAGCTTCTTACGGTGCGCGGTGGCGGCGGCGCGCTGCTTGCGCTCCTCCTCCAGCTCGGCCTCGAGGTCGCGCAATTGCTTCACGATGCCGCGCCGTTTCTCCTCGCCCTGCTCCTCCTTGGCCTGCAGCTCGCGCTCGAACTGCGCGCGCATGGCCTGCATGTTCACCTCCAGCCGCAGCTTGGCGTCCTCCGTCAGCTGCAGGTCGTCCTCGATCTCCTCGTTCTGCGCCCGCAGCTCCGCCAGCTGCGACTCGAGCGCGCGCTTGGCTCGCTCCAGCTCGTGCACGTTCTTGTCCGCCGTGCCCTGCGTGTTGGCCAGCTCATCCAGCTCCGCCTGCAGCACGCGCTTCGAACGCTCCAGCTCCTCGATCTGAACACAATTTCAAATTATATTAGCCCCATTATATTTGTCCATGGCCTGCTAAAGGCGACATGGTGCTGTACAATACCTTTTCGGCTGCATCATCGAGCTCGCGCGTGAGGCTGAGGACGCGCGTCTCCTTGTCACGAGCATCGCGCTCGGCAGCGTCACGTTCCGCGGCATTGCGTTCTGCCACCGCGCGCTCCTCCGCAACAACCTAAACATAACAACGAGCAATGTTTTAGAATAACATAAATAGGGATTGATTAGAGTAACAACATGTTACACTTAACATTTTGTACAACTAAAACTAAACTGTAGCAGACCTTGTCGAAGCTCTTCTGCTTCTTCTCGAGCTCAAGCACCTTGGCGCGCTGAGCTTCCAGCTCGATGTTGGTATCTTCCAGCTCCGCCTGCACCTTCTTCTTGCCTGCACGAGTAGTATACACAAATTAATACAACAAAACAAGTAAGGCTATTGAAAAGCAAGAAATGGTGGATGATGTCATTAGCACGCACATCGCTTTGACTAGAGATCTGACTGTCAATCGATATGGTTGTGATCAGAAGTATACTAACTCTTGTCGAGTTTGTCGTTGGCCTGCTGCAGCTCGTCGATCTGTCGATGCAGCGCCTCTATGTCCTTGCTGAGCTTCTTACGCTGCTCCTCTAGTGCGGCGGATGTTTCCGCCTCCTCCTCCGCCTTCTTCTTGGCTTCCACCACTTGCTGCGTCAGCGCTGCCACCTGAATAAAGCGAGCAATTAATTTATTGAAATAAATTCATTTTTATTAATTTAGCTTATTATATTATCTATTTTTGCATTATGTATGCATGGATACATACTTGTTTCTCGAGGTTCTTCTTGGCCTCCTCCTCCTCATCTAGCTGGTCGCGCGCCTGTTCCAACTGTTGCTCCACATTGCGCAGTCGCGTCTGAAGCGAAAGCTTCTGCTTCGTCTCCTCCTCCAGCAACGCCTGGCAACCAACATTTTACATATTTCAATTTGCAAGTAACAGCTTAATCTGGGGAATCTATCTTCCCCTTTCTTGAACAGCTGTCTTGGAAGTGATTTGTCTAGGGCGGCAGAAATGTAGCAGGATGCAGACCTTGGGCCACGGAAATATTTGAAAAGACTGATACTTCGAAGGCCCTACGACTTATGGTTCCTCAAAATAACGGCTTACACCTTCCTTTAAGGCTGATAATGCCCCTGCAGAGTGTCAGTGGTGCGTATACAGACCTGTGCCTCCGCGTGCTGGGCGCCGACAGTGGCGGCCTGCTTGAGAGCGGCGGAGGCCTTCAGTTCGGCCTGCTCCAGCTGCTGCAGCGCCTGTTCTGCCTCACCCTGTAGCCGCTGGCATTTTTCCTGCACCTCCGCCCTGATAACACAATACATTTTTATTTGTACGCTTATTCGTCACTAAAAATAAACCAATAGGCATAGTAGCAATGGCTATCAAAATAGTTGTAGTTGTATAATAGTATAAAAAATCAATAAAAAAAATCGTTAATCTTCATCCCCCAACACGTACATAGAAAAAAAAAGGCAGAGAATTCACTATTCTCACTCTCTGTCTCTCCCTCTCTTAAATTTGTAACGACGTAGTAACTCTTTGAATGACCAATAAGAAGATAGATCGATCTGGACAGTACGTCAGTGGGACAATGACAGGTAGATGATGATAGCAACAGTATTACCTGGAGCGGTCGACGTCCTGCAGCTTGGCGGCGAGGTCCGCGAGCTGAGCTTCCGCCTGCTTGCGACGACGCTCGCCCTCGGCGCGTGCCGCCGCCGCGCTCTTCAGCTCGGTCGCCAGGTCGGCGTTCTCCGCCTCCAGCGCCTGCTTCGCCTTCTCCAGCACTGCCCACACACGTACACGTTGACAAAACATACAACAAACGCGTTTAGACTAAGCTATTCATAGCGGATGAAACGATAGAGAGCGTCACACTGTCTAGACATACTATGCCCTTCTTAATCAATTAAACCGTAAACTCGTACCGCAGTACTTACTTAATTACTCATAATTCGTTTTTTCAGCTTTAAAAAACGTAAAAAAATTGTTACAAAAGCTATTATTTTCAAGCATACTGGTGACGTAACGATTGAACTAGTCCCTGTATTGATGGCAATACACGAGTTTCTAGTGAACTATCTACTCCTAAGGGCCGTACTAACAGCTACATTTATCAGTGAGGTCGTCCTTCCTCTCGGGCAGGGATCCGCCCTTGCAGATGTGCTGCCAGTACTCCCGCGTGGAGGTGAAGGCGTTGCCCTCGTCATGTGGCGCGCCCACCGACGACAAGTCAAAGTTGTCGTCCTTCGACAGACCGAACTTCGCATTTTTCTGTCTTCGCTCTTTTACACTACCCATTATCTTTTTGTATTTTATGTTTTTAAATTATACACTAAATCTATAATTAAAATATTAACTCAAAAAAATCCGCATAAATTTTCATAAAAGTTTTGACATTCGAAAAATTTGACATTTCCTGATTGATGTCGATAGATAATTTGAAAATGGAAGCGTCGCGATTATAACACTAACGACTTTTCTAACAATGAGTTTTTATTGAGTTTAAAGATGCTGCAAAAATTAAAGAAAACAGCTCTACTTTTTGATTCAGTTAGATCAGAGATTACATATTCGAGTAGCTTTTTAGCATGGCAAAAATGAAGTGCAAGTAATATAAAAATTGGTAATAAAATATATTACGATATAAAAATATAAACAATGATAGCAACAGTGAACTAGGTATCGCGATTGTAACCATGACTCACCGGCGACTTGCATATCTGCATGCACAAACATAACAAATTGTTAACTTACGATTAATATTTAAATCTAATTATAATAATCAATTGTCACTTTTTACCATTCAGCGTCCACTTACAGACAAATCGGCGTCCACCTGGAGATAACTCGGCGTTTACCTGTTGGACACCGTAAGTCGCCTGTGTTGGTACTGACCTGCTTTAGTTTTCTTGAGCTGCTCGTGCTGCTCGTTAAGTAGCTGCAGCTCCTGCGAGTGCTTGTGGCGCTGCTCGGTGAGGCTGGCCTCGTGCGCCGCCGCCTCCTCCTCCAGGCTGCGCTTCAGCACCGCCACTTCTTGCTCGCGCTTAGAACGCAGCTCTTGTTGTGCTGCACAATACATATACCACAACATTAATTAGGTTGTAACAGTTAGTTTTTTGTTTTTTTTTTTCAAAGAAAAGATTGATTAATGGTTTGAAACCGTGAAATTGCACTAAAATGAAGATTGTCTTAAAACATACACTGTCTCTGTTGTTCCGAAGTGAATGAGAGGGATGACACTATGTTGTTTTACAAATGTTTCGTGTGTACTGACCGGCGGTGGTATCGAGCGAGTCTAGAAGTTCACTCTTGAGAGCTTCCAGCTCCTCGTTGAGGTCTCTCCTCAGCTTCTCGGCTTTGGTGCGGGCGTTGCGCTCCGCCTCGAGGTCCTCGTGTGCGTCAGCGAGCGCGGACTCGGCCTCGCGCGCCGCCTTCTGTGCTGCAGCTCGCAGCGCGCCCTCTTCGTCCAGCCGGCTCTGTGCTGCTGCCAGGTCCTCTTCTCGCTTGCCTGCAAACATATTCAAACTAAATTTAGACCTACTGACACAGGTATAGGAATATAAACTTCTGTAGAATAAACGAATAACATCAAATGCTGTCTTCTGAGCATAATTGGTAGTCAATGAACTCGAACTATATCAAATTTATTTTGGATCTTGAATAATTTTTGCTGTCAATTTGGTCAATCGAATAATTTTTCATACGCTCTTTCATAATATAGTTATACAAAAATTCGGATCAGATATTGATTTTTGCAGTAAGCTACTGCTGTGTGCTGTTTGCAGTCACAGTTGTATAATTCAATAGAATATAGTGTGTGACGTGTACTGACTGAGGACGATCTGCAGCTCCTCCAGCTGCGCCTTGCGCTCGGCGAGCTGCTCGCGCACGTCCTGCAGCTCCGTCTCCAGCTTGCGCTTGGCGCGGTCCACCTCCTGCCGCAGCTGGTGGTCCTGCACTCACACAACACATACACATCACCGACTGACACACACAGTCCTCTTATGGCCACTCTCAACTTGTATTATAATACTGCTATAGTTCTAGTTAAACCCACAAACTATGAAATTATATCAATTCTTCAACCGTTAAGACTTTATGAAAGCCATGTCTTGGCCAAATAACTTTTCTTTATTTAAACAAAATAAACTAAATCACGCACCTTGAGCAATTTCTCTTCGAGTTCCGCAATGGCGGACTCCTGCTTCGTCTTCAGCTTGCTGAGGTGTTTAGCCTTCTCCTCTTCCTCCGCCAGCGCTTGCGACAAGTCCGTTGCGCGCTCCTCCAAAATCTAGAAAAATATTTACAAAAAAAAACTTGAATTACAAAAAGATAACAAAAGCATATAGAAGAGAGTATTTACTTATTGGTACCAAATTCTTGGTGTTATCTTATATTTACTAGATAGTAGTTAGATACAAAATTTCTATCAGATATGCATTGTACCTTCTTCTCCTTGAGCAGCTTCTGGTTGGTGTCGTCGCTGAGCGCCAGGTCCTCCTCCAGTTTCTTCAGCTTGGCGTCGCACTGGACGCGCTCCAGTTGCAGCTTCTGCCGCGCCGCCTCCTCCTCTTCAAGCTGCTCCTCCAGGTCCTGGAAAGAGAGGTAGACAAAACTATATCACATTGCGCCAAGAAATTTTTTCTGTGTTTTTACAAATGATAAATAAACGCTTCGTTTTTCAAAAATGAATATAAAACTCAAGATATTTCAACCACAACTTAATGTATACATAAGTTCCAGAGTTTAAGAAGTGAAAATATTGTCAATTGAGTTCCAAATCGAGCGGAACCAGAATATGGTAAACTTCACCTATTTTGTGTCCATAACTTAAACCTATTAGAAACCAACAATAAAACTGAAGCGGGTTTCTTCATCAGTATAGATATCATGTAGGTACCTGTATATTGAGCTGCAGGCGCTTCTTCTCCTGCTGCAGCGCGTTGCAGCGCTCCTCCTCCTCCTCGATGCGGCCCTCCAGGTCGTGCAGCAGCTCCTCCAGCTCCTGCTTCCTGGCAGCCGCGCGCGCCCGGCTCTCCTCCGCCTCCGCGCACAGCTCCAACTCAGCCTGCACATAAACATCACAAGATATTTATATACTGTACTCTGACGGCTGATTTTTTAAGAACCCTCATTCAACTATAGAGATTACAGTATGTTTTAAATGGAAATTTTGGTCTCAGAAACTCACAATAAATCTAATCTTTTTTATATTGATTGCCAAAAGTCGTTTCAGCGACGCAGAGTAATTTAAACAACAAATATACTTGTTTTATAATATCTTTTTTTTTTGTTATTATTAATTTGATCACATCTATAACATTGTTATGTTTATTTGTATGTTTGTTTATATCCACAAATATCTTGTTCCCGTAGACCTCAAAGCGGTATATCTACATGAATGTTGACCTGCAATTGTTCGGCGAGCTGCGTCTTCTCCTGGTTGGCGGTCTGGTACTTCTGCTCGTACTCCTGGCACCGCTTCATCTGGTTCTCCAGCTTGTCCCTGATCTGCCGGAGTTCGTCCTCCTTCTGCGTCAGCTTCTCCTCCTGCTTCGTCACTTCCAGAAGTGGCTTCACCTGGAATTATAAACAACACGCTTAGTACCATATGTGTACAAAATTTGAAATTAATGTTCCTAATTGATTTTTACCTTTAGTTAAAAGCATTATCAGTTCTTTACAACAAAGTTGATATTTAATAGAATGTCGCATAACAGGAAAATAACTAAAGTAATTTGATTGTTCATTAAACTGTAATTTGTAGTTAATTTAAACTCGCATTAAAAAAATGACTTTCAGATTTTAAATGATGTTTCATGTTTGTAGTCAGAAAAATGTATTGTAAAAATAAAAGAACACGAATTATTCGTGTTCTTTTATTTTTACAATATAACGAAAAATCATAGCATAATTGTGAAATAAAATGCCTTGATAAATAATTTTATTATTCCATTACAAACATTTTTCATAGGTGTTTGATTTTGTTAATTTCCAATTATTTAAAGTATTAATATTATTATTATATGATACAAAGGCCAAATTAAACACGACCCCATCTGTTCGTTCAGCAAACAGTTGCATAACTCTGTGGTGAACAATTTAACAATAGAAATAGTTGACCGGCGCGCACAAAGGCCGCGGGTTATATTATCAAAACACGGACGATTTATTACAACATTTATATAAATAATTCGATGACCTGTCCCTATGTTTTGAATAATTTCACTGATAACTTTGAATGTTCATATACGTTGATCAAGAGTAGCCATTTTGGTTCGATAAAAGCCTACAAAATTGTAACATAGCGCACATAACAGATTTAGTACTAACCTTAATGTACAGTCGCCACCACTGCCAGTTCCTCAGCTTGAGGTATGCGGCGCAGTTCCTCTGGATGATACGAATAGCATTCAGCTGCTGGAGCCGCTTCTGGTAGTTCCTGCGGGCGAGGTAGCCGCGACAGAACGCCTGGAAGTTCACTATCAGATCCGTTATCTTGTAGTCGCGCTCCTCCTCCAGGTGAGCCAGCACGCCCGCCCTGAAGAAGATCTTCGACTGTCCGACACGGTACAGGTTGTGGTCCAGCTCCAACGCCTCGATCATCCGCTCGCAGGCCTTCTTCCCGTCCATGAATCCCTTGGGGATGATGTTCGGAGTGAGCAGCTCGTAGCGCTGCCTGAACTCCTGGAAGGGTATCCTGTTGGGGAAGCCCTGCCTGCATATCCTGATGCCCTCAAGCACACCGTTGCACCTCAGCTGGTCCAGCACCAGGGGGGCCTCGATCTTGCCCGCCTTCTTCTCGTGATTCGGAATGATACATCGCACGAAGTTCGGGTTCGTATTCCGCAGCGTGGCCATCAACTTCGTCAGCTGCTCCTTGTACAGCTGCGAGACTGTCCGGAACATTCCCTTGCGAGTCCTGGCGCCGAACTGCGTGTCGGTCATCGCTTGCTGCGCCATGCCCACTATTTCGGCGTCCTTCCAGATGTGACACACGAAGGGGTCCTGCGACGACTGGAGCAGAGAAACAACGTTCTCGTTCAGAGGGTCCATGTTTTTCATCAACCACTGAGACGCTGAGTAGTCCACTTTACCCGCGTAGTGAATTATGGCGAAGTCTGCGATACCTCTGAAGTCCGTCTTCATGAACTTCGGATGAACGGAATGGGCCAACACGAGTTTTTCCACGAAACTTTTGTCTGTGGCCTTAGGGAACCAGCACTCCTCGTCAAGCAGGGCCATGATACCCATCGGTTTGTCGATTAAATCGATCGTCGGTTGCAAATCGAGTCCGAAGTCGATGAACTTCCATTCGATTCCTTCCCTTTGGTACTCCTCCTGTTCCAATATGAACATCGTGTGGTTGAAGAGCTGCTGCAGCTTCTCGTTGGTGTAGTTGATGCAAAGCTGCTCGAAGGAGTTGAGCTCGAAGATTTCAAAACCGGCCATATCGAGGATACCGATGAACGATGCCCCTTGCCTCTTCGTCCTGTCCAGGGACCTGTTGATTCTATTGACCAGCCACCTGAAGAGGCGCTCGTAGCACGCCTTGCCGATCGCTTCCACCGAGAACTCGACTTGTTCTTTTGTCTGGGCTTTAGTCACGAAGTCGCGGCCGACCTTGATACGTGGTTTTAGGAATGCTTTCGTCATTTCTGTTACTGAAAGACCTGGAAATCGAGTGGAAGCTCATGTTAGATGTAGATCGAAGACTTCGTTATAGGGTTCATTTTCTAACTTTGAAGGTCTAACGAAAGAACAGAAATATAGACGTAAAAGTTTCAACAAAAGATAAACTAGAAAAGCTTTTGGTTTAGTTTTTTGGGATTCAAATCATATTGAGTACAATTTTATGAGGTAAAATATACTTACCAAGCAAATGTGCGATCTTCTGAGCGACCGTGTTATCGGGCAGCGTGGCTTGATCCGAATTCCTCTCCTGCTTAAACTGCATGGAACCGAACAGTAGAACCGCGGAGACTATTCTGAAGATGGAATTAAAGTCTTCCATGTTCATGCCCATTATATTCATTGATTTGATCGTGGCCTGGAATTCCGCGGCATCATCTATTCCGGGGACGGGCAACGAGCCATTGGTGAGGAAGGGATAGTTCTTAGGATCTTCCAGAATGTATTCGGCCTTCTGCTGCGGCGTCGCTCCGACGAGCAGCTGGTAGAAGATGTGGAATGTGCGTTCATCTTTCGCCTGTCTGATAGCTCTTGATTTCTCCAACAAGTAAGTCTCGATGTTCGCACCGGCAATGTATCCGGATGCGTCGAAGTTAATTCTAATGAATTTACCCTGGAATATGAAATGTTTATTTAATTCCTATGAACCTACGTTTAATTCGAAACAAATCTGTTGATTTAAATATACAAAAATATTACAATATCTAAATACCTTAACAGAAACAATTCTAACACAAAGCTTTTACAAGCAATTTTCTCGCATCTATCAGAGGCTTGGTATTTTTGGCACTATACCAAAGCAATTTTCCTTTTAGTTACTACAGTATGTACATTTAATTATGAGGCGGTTAGCGTTGACAGGCATTTATAATCAGCCCCTCATAGGACAATGAGTTCCACCCACATATTTGGTAGAACATTTAATTTTTTCGCAAAATGTCGCTCCATGTACATTAGTAATTACATCTTTATATTTTAAAGACAAGAATTGGAAACAATATACTATCTTTGAGTTAAATGCATAAAGTAAAGTGAAAGTGTAGCCAACATGCTAAAGACACAGATTCGATTTTTGAATTTTAATATATTTTGGCTGTCTGTTTCACATCCTTCGATGTTATCGCGTAAAGGTTATTCCGGACATAAGAAGGGCAACCAAAGGGCTTGTCAGTGTGCAAATATTGCACATTTACCTTTTAAAGTATTGTGTATTGTAAAACATATAAAGTGAAGTTCGTATATTTTATCGATATTTATACTTACAAATCTCGATGAGTTGTCGTTTTTGACTGTCTTCGCGTTACCAAAAGCTTCCAAAATTGGATTAGCTTGCAGCAATTGTTGCTCCAACTCGCCCTAGAAGTCATAAAATATTTTTATTGATAAAAATAAACACTCAAGTTTGTCCTTATATAATAAGCAAAAGCAATAATTTTAATCTCTATTGGACAAAGTTTATTAAAAAAAAAACTATTCTTTTATTTTTAAACATCGATATGGTAATTTAAATTGCCTCTTGTGCGATATATTTTTCATTAGTGATGTGAAGTGAATGTTATTGTTATTTATCGATATTTACCTCGAATGTTGGTCCATTGCTCTTTAATTGTTAGCGTGAAAAATGATATTTAGAGTTAATGGTACTAATGAAAATGTCTTACGATAAATATGACTTCGGAACGTGATGAGTTGTGTGAAGCATGCAAGTTAAAATTAAATTTACAAAATCTATTAGTATCATCACAGCCGGGTAGAAATGATGCAAGGACAAATTAAGTTAGAGGAAATACGATTTTGTTTTCAGTATTTGTGTTTTTCTTGTGATAAGAAAATAATTTAAATTGAAAACTTTTGTAACTGATCGACGTGCAGTTCCATCATTTGTGTTAAACCAGTGTACAGTCGGGGGAAAAACCATTATGTTACAAAAACTGGTAAAAAAGGATAGAGCATTAGAACAGCATCTATCTCGCTTACTCACTGAACAAGTGATAAATGGCAAGAGTTGATGTCATTAATTACTAATAGTAAAACAATGCGAATGATAACGCTTATCAAAACAAGTAGATTATATAAAATTGAGACCTAGTTCTTTGTCTTATTTTCCCTACTCGTAAATTAATAAACAGTCAAATGTCTTCCACAAAAGTATTTAAAACCTCAGTTTTCTAACATTAAATTATGACAAAGAAAATGAATAAATCAAAACAATGCCAAGGATAGATTGTGGTCAAAGATTTAAATTAATCATGTTATTAAAAAACGAATTTATGTACATGATGTTACTTCCAAGAAACATGAACAAACAATCCCAGTGTGATTTATCGTATCAAAAACAAAACATGGTTAGTGTTAACTTCGCGGTATATTTATCCAAACATTTGTTGGAGCAAAGGTTTGACAAACGTTTGGATGATATATGCGTCGCCAATGTTTGTCAATTTTGCAAGCAAGCGATGATTTTTTTTTTTGTTTTCATTAAAACTTACAATAATCAACTGCGGCGAAGGTCCCTGTAGTCATCGACAGCCGGTGCGGAAGAGAGTGGAAAAAATAAAAAAAATATTACAACAGCACATCGTGGAAGAAAATAGTTTGGTACATTTTTGTTACCCTAGTACAAAAATAGACCAAAGTGCAATCCTTTGATTTCAATGAACAGATCCTTGAATAACATTTATGTACAAAGGTCAAACATTTTTCATAACTTCAATTTTAAACTTATATTAGAATTTGCATTTATCTATGAAAAGGATCTATACATTTTCACCTTCATAGTTAAAGACACACACATAGACGGAAATGTACCTTATATTGTTGTCTCACTCACTCACCTTGAAAACAATGAGATAACAATATGGTTCAAGACCGTCAGTTACTCATAGAACATCATTTTGATACAGTATTTATTTTAACGACTTTAAAAAATTAAAGACAATTTATCTATAAAATTTAGAACAGTAACAAGTATAGGAAAAGTTTTAAAAAAGGTTCAAACAGTAAAACCCGTGCTAAACTACAGGAAGGAAATTGTGAAATTTTCTATTAGCACCTTTTCTAGCTCTACATCGTTTTAATGTGTTTATTTAATTACATTAACACAAACTAATTTGGATCATTAACCTAGATTACAAAAATTACCTTATAAGGAATTTTTTAGTGAAAACGTAACGAACTTTGCTGCCATATATGTACAGAACGAGGTAATTTGTCGTGAGTCATCGTGTTTAATAATGGTTAATATTAAATGTGCTAAGACCACACCCTGAGCACACTCATCGCTCTGTTTATAGTAACAAGGCTAGGCCACATTGTCAGCGAAAACTAAGCGAGTACGATTCATAGCAAAGTAATATTAACATCTTTATTCGTATATTTTTTAAGTATTAAAATAGCTTTGTATTCATAGTTAAAAATTTTATAGAATAATAATCGGAAATTACATTTACTTTTTATTTATGAGTAAAGGAACATGATTTAATACGGTAGCTATAAAATATCTTTAAGTGTACGAATACCTTTAGAGTTTTTAGTAGCTTTTTTTATTCTAAACGAGTACGAGACGTTATATAAAATTGGTAAAGTCTTAGCTGATGATTCCTACGGGTTGACAATGCTGGCGTTACTGAAAATCGGGGTATAATCTTACCCGACTTCGGTAGTCGAACCGATAAAGAAAGCGCTTCCAAAATCAAAACAAAAGAGAACTGTTAAAAAAGAAATAAAAAACCAACCAACGGTAATCTAAAATCTGGTCCGATAAAAACGTTCCATTTTTGAAATCATAAAACAAAAATGTTCCAAATTTAAAAATTAAAAATAAAACAGCAAAAAAAATCTTACCGCTCCGGAGCCCTTTGGCTTAGAGGCGGCGACGTAGGCAAGGTACTGTATCACCTTCTTGGTGTTTTCAGTCTTACCCGCGCCCGACTCTCCCGTACAGAGGATCGACTGATCCTCGCGATCTGCGAACAATACATAATACTAGAAACATGGGACTGGGGCTAAATGTGAGTTGCATATTCTTTATGATAGATTCTTTAGAGGATATGTCAGTGTATATTGGTCAAATGCAGCATGTAATCATTAAGGAAAGCTATTTTGCGTGTCGCCGGATGCCTAGCGCTTTTGCTGCGTCTTTGTTTACTTTGATTATCTCTACGCAATGCTGCAATAAAGACCCACTACTTTGTATTAGGGTTGTCGCAATTCTTAAAATCCTTTTTTTTGTAAATGGTAATATTGTCATCCCTGTTCATTCATCACAATAAGTGTACAATGATTAATTGCTCTTAAAACGAGTGATTGTTCCGAACCTAAATCTTTACATATCAAATATTAAGTGTCAACATCCATTCTGTTACTATTAGTAGATAGTAGACATTGTAACGTACATTTATAAAAATTATACATAAAAAACTGAAGCATATTGCTTTACGAATTTGCAATTTGATGTGTTTTGTGGACTGTAGCACGATACTTATTAGATTCGACGATTATTCACATATTATTAATGCATTTCTTATTGCGTTTATTCTTTCGAGAGGTTAATTTTTACTGCAATGTTGGACAACCCTAACAATCCAGTGCACTCATTGTCATGGCATGTTGGCCAGTACCGCAGTGACCATAGCATAGGTACATTAATTCCTATGCAACAATATGCCTAGTCCTGTCCACCTACATGCAAATAATACACCTTTGTACCCAACCGAAGGCTGTACGCCATTCGCATCACAACGAGCGGAATTCACTATTTTCTAAGACTTCTATGTTTAATTAATCGTCTGTTTATCGTTAAATGACGTATTTAATATACTTCGACGGATGTTCATGTGGACGTTAAAACTGAAAATCTGTTTAATAAAATCTTTCTAGTCGAGGAAGACAAAATAATATACATGCTATTAGTTTTAGTTATCTTAGTAACAAAAATTGTATTAAAACAAATTAAATATGTTTATAATGAAAGAATGCATCACTAGCTCGTTAAGATAAGAGACAAAGTTCCGTAACGTCCATTAGACTAATCGCCCACTAATGGCTCGCGATACTACAACTACGTTTTTTGTTGAGATGTAGCAACGATATTAGTCCATCCATTATTCTATAGCGCTTTTATACCATCACCGCTCGAGATTATTTAGCTTACAAACAATCTAGCTACTAGCTCGCATGATTTATAAAGTGGTCACATGAATTCGCGTTAATAGCGAAGCGACCACTGCCCATAGGCGTCCACATTGTCGTTAAATTTACGTAAGATAAGATATATGGAATGATAATTTATTCCCATTACTATCACTGTGTCACTGTCTTTAGGGATGTATTTACCTTGCAGCATAGAACGATAAGCGGTGTCTGTGATGGCGAAGACGTGTGGCGGGACTTCATGCCTCTTGATGCCTTTGTACCGCTCCATTATCTTCTCCGTGTAGATCGGCAACTTCTTGTATGGATTCACCACCACGCAGAAAAGCCCCGAGTACGTCTGCAAGAAAAAAGACATATCTTAGTACAAGTTTAAGCTATATCTTGGAATATAACTTACTCATATAAAATAGATTGATTTATATTAATTAATTAAATTGATAATAGGTTTAATTATAGAACTCCCTCTTTGCTATGATTTCATACAATATGCTCAGTAAGCTTGAAATGAAACAATTAATTTACATTACAAGTAAGGCTGAAAAGAAAGTTTTTAATCAACGGTGAAGACAAGTAAAAAGGTACAACGGTTCACCATTGTCAATATTCCCCTTAGAGAAATGTCGTAACCAGTGATTGGTGATTGGTTACGGCCCTCACGACTAGGGTATCCCCTTGTCACGGTGGCGACACGACCTTCATCAATAGACCCAAGATTAATGGACCTCTATTACTTGCTTAGTTGTTTCCACGCCGGTATAACCTGACAAATTATGTTACGCCTATTATTTAGTTAATTGTTTTTCGTACTATTCATGACAAATAGAGTTACATAGAAACAACAGACGTAACTGTTTTCATCGGATGTATCGAAACATATGTGAAGTTATAACAAGTATAAATAAGATAGTGAATTCAATTTCACTATCAGCATGCGAGCAGCAAACACAAAGATCCAGGTCAAGAATACATACCAATAAATTGTCAATAAAATCATAACGCAAACAAGCAATTAGCGTATAACATACTGCGGCCTGTATAATTGTGGACTCGATGATACAGAGTTAAAGGCTTGAAGATGCCGCCACTTTACATGTGATCCGGGCATTTTATCACATTTTTAAATTTTATAGTAGCTTGCCTTCGATTGAATGAGAAGCGTAGTTTTAAACCAACTTAATAGATCAAAATAAATTAAGTTAAATCGATTAATATGTTTTATCATTTCTTAGAATTCGTAGTCTTTATTTTTCAGTTGTTTTGCAAACATAATATACTATGCTTTTAAAGACTCGTTAGCAAACACTTAAATGAGTTAATGTCTAGAGATGGTATGTAAACATAGGCGCGCGTTTATCAGTGCGGCGACATCAAAGCTAACGTTATCCGCAGCGATTACCGGCGATGCTTTGAATCAATTTGCGTTTCAAACTGCAGTTAGATGCATGTCGCTAATCTCTTGTCAGTAACCCTGGTTTAGGGGGTCAAGCAAATATAGTTTATATCTCATACCTTACGAATGTACAAGGAACATAGTTAAATAAAACGCAAGTATAAACACACGGGAAAAGCATGAGTATAGTTTAAACAATCATAACATTTTCCTAAGATATCATATATTTTACAGTCTTATTTAAATATGCGAGAAAAAGGACAAATGGTGATAAAAATGACCTTCTTATAATATTCCGTTTCCACCGTCGAATTGCTCGTACGCAAATATAATGCCATCTCTTTTATTCCCTTTGAATAAAACGGGGATAACCATATATTAACTAATTGTATATTGGTCGTTACAATTACGTCAACATTGTCCAGGGATGCGAATGCTCAATTATTCTCGCAACAGACGTGCCTGTAATGACGCAACCCACTAGAACACAAGAACCTGACCCGGCCGCATTCTGAACCGCGCCGCAGCCCGATTTGGTTTCGCTCCTTGTACGAACCACCCTAATTGGTAACATGCTTTATGTTTTTTGTGGCACGTACATAGAATTTCTAGGAGGTTTCTCATTAGTATATCAAAAAACTTGCACACGTTACCACAATTATTTCTACATGATAGTTAAGTAATCAATAAATAATCTTACTAATATCATAAATACGAATGTTTTAATCGATGGATGGATGTTTGTCAGAAGGTATCTCCCGTACAGCTGCATAGATCTCACTGAAATTTGGCATACATGTAGAACATACCTTAGAAGAATACATCGTATGGACAAAGTCACGGTCGACGGCTAGTTATTAATATGCATTATATTTACTCTACACAAGGAAAATATAGCAGAACTGATTTCTGAGAGTAAGAACAAAACTTGAAGTAAAGAAATCGACCTCTATGTTAAATCTGCCTTCGGTCAGAACTTGAATAAATTGGTCCGTCTTCCGAAGTTAAAGAGCCATAGTATTTTAGTTTCCAAAGTTTGTAAAATATCCTTCGCATTGTCTCGCGTGGTATTCTCATGAGTCATTGGCGGTATCGCGGCTGAGTCTTTGTGCTCGCACAGCTGATTACACAAGGCGCGAGACAAGTCATTATAAACTTAATTTACTTACAATAAAGAGTTAACTTTCTTACTATCCTCAAAATCGATGTAAAAGGTTTACAAAACTGGGTAAAAGATGAAAATATGATTTAACTATTGCTATTAGTGACTGATCTTTATGAAAAATTTATTCGAATGATTTTTTCTAACAAAATAATATATCGTCTCATTTCGCTTACAATAATGACAACAACGTTTGTTATGGATTTAAGCAATCGTCAGGATTACTTATATCAGTATCAGTTAAATTAGTACAATGGAATATGCAATACGTAATACATAATATTACGCATAACATACGTATGTCGCATTTAAGACTTCGTGAACTATTTAACTATATTTTTAATTGTAATATTAAAAAATACATAAAAAAAACTTAGTCATCGCTTTATCTGTATAACTAAACATTCAATTTCTGATTCATATATTTATGGGTTTAGTGAGTTAACATGATATAAATTAAACTGTGTGTGAATACACCCTTAGAAATAATATTTAAATTAACACGTGAATTGCGTGACGTCATCTGATAGTACATAAAGTCTACCTTACACGATTCATAGAATGAATCCTCTTGGCTGATTTCCAGGTGCTGTACTCAATCGATATAAGTTACATGGAAAATGATGCCAAGAGCACTTGAATCAATTGTGGATGGCAACCTTGCCGCACAGCTGACAAGATTCACAAGCAACATAACAGCCTACGAAAAAATCATGAAATCATGCCAATGTTGGATGTATGGATTGTTTGAAGGTATCTCCAGAACCGCTATACGGATCTCGCTGAAATTTGGCACAGATGTAAAACATAGTCTAGAAGAACACGTAGACTACTAATTAAGTTTTTTTAATTCCGCTATGCGACAGTTTATCAATTTGATTTTCTATTAGGAAATTAGCTTTATTAAAGGAAGAAGAAAGAAAGGAGATATTTAGACAAATAAGTAACAACTAATGTGTACAATTTCATGTCAATCTACATTTTTTCACGTTTCACAATCAACAAGAGAGCATTGAAAGTGTTTCCACGTAACGCACGAGGTTATCGTTATCAATCGCCGTAAACAGTGACACTTTTACTGCATTGTAATAAGGTTTATAATAGCATAGCAACATGTAAAGTGAGTCAGCGTAGTTATGGGGTGCGTGTAGTTATCCCATATTTGGTAATTTGAAGGCTCGCAGATAGAGCGATAATGCGCAATGTAATAGCGCACTATACATGGTGAGTATTTTTTGTTTTGGCTTACGCGATGCAAACTTCTTTTGATATTGAGAAATCTTGTCAAACCAATGACCTGATAATGACTCTGTAGTGCGAATTAATGATATTTAAAACACATCCTTTTATGTTCGAATAACTTACTTCATAGAATTGAAATAAACGATCGCCTTACATTTTTAGAGTGTTGGTGGCTCAGTAGCTAATCAGTTGACTTTTCGTTGACAAATCCTTGGTTCCAATCCCACCGTGTACCTATGTGTTTTTCGAATTTCGATTTGAATATGTACATTTATCCAACGTTCTTACGGTAACCGAAAAACATCGTGATGCAACCATCTGACACCAAATTTCAAAGATATGTTTGAAGTCAACCAACACGCACTGTGCCAGCGTCTATGGCCTAGTCACACCTAACTTAAGGTAGACTCCGAGCCCATCAGTGCAGACATATAGTGAGCTGATGATGATAACATTTTTAAAGTATTATTGTTTTGTTAACGGGCAACACCAATAAGTGAAAGGTTAACATTTAACTACGAAAATGTCAACAATCTGATCGTTTACCATATAGGGATAAATGAGTACGATTGGTACATTAAAAATATAGCCTGAAATAAATGAAATACAACATCGTGTTTTTCATTGACCTCCTTTTACTTACTTTGAAGGGCTTACGTGTTTTATACGAGGTTTATCAAATGTATAAGTTTTGTAATAAATTTCCAATCGTAATGGCTTAGTGTAAGCACGTTCAGTTTTAGTCTGATGAAAGTCTAGGTTCAATCCCAGGGAAAAATCTAACATTTTTTGTCATTTTAAAAATTAGTTAAAGCGGAGTACATTTTTTTTTATTAAAAAGTAAATGTTGATGGAATTTGAAAAAATACGACATCGATGTATGAGAAATATGTTTTATACCTAGGTACTAATATATTAAAAACTTACGAAAATTCGTTAGTATTGTTATGGTGTAGGGATAATGCGAGTGTCGAGACTCATTAGTTTGTTTATCCAACAAGAAACCTACGCATTACGTAAATGGATTCTAAAATGTCTCTGCCACTGATATTCCCAAACATTTTAGAGACGTGAAATGAAAAAACCATAAAGTTAATTTAACAGACGCTTCTTCTATTTCTTCAGATCCGTATAAATAGATTTTTTTATCACAGATTCATTTAATATCATAAACATTTTACTGCTGAAAAAAACTTGGAAAAAATAAGTTTTTTCGAAACTTACAAGTACGTTTTTTTTTCACAGATTCATACAAGCCATTCTGCTTCATCATTGAATAGGCCTAACAATGTAGTAAATATTTTAAATTCATTATAAAATGTCCACAGGTTGAGAACCTCTGTTTCCCCCCAATGCCCACTGCATTGAATCATCAGTAAACATTAAATCTAAGTACGCACTATCGCCCACGAAACCAACCAAATTAACAAAACAAACACACCATTTATTTTTATCGTCCATTGTAGATTTTAAATGCTCACAATATTCCAGACTTGTAGGCATTTTCGAGAAAGTTTTATGTGATTTTGCATGTTTGACTACC